TCTCTATAGCCATGTGAAATGATACGTCGTAAAGTACAATTAGAGGAATTCTTTTTTCTTATAATTAATATCACATTTTTGAACTTGAACTCTGAGAAGAGATGCCAAAAGGCAGTGGTACCGTGTTACTTGTTTTTATGAATTACTTTTTAACAAGGAATGATTCGTATTCATTAAATGAATTCAACATTTTCCCTGTAAAAACAATAGAGTTTCAGTACATGAACTATAGAGGAAATATATAAATATATATATATAATGTACATAAATGTTACATTTGTAAAGAAAATGTAAAAATGTAACTACAGAATATGAATTGCTTAAACTGTGCTGCAATGTTGGATGACAACTCTTTGTCACAGTTAGAGAATGAGGTTAACTAATGCGTATTATGAGTTGAGTTCATAAGGAAACACAAAACTTTGTAATTCTGTTAAATCTTTTATGTGGATTTATTTATGATCAGCCTACTAATTAAAAATATTTTGCTTGAAAAAAAAAAAAAGAGTGGCCATAGACCCTTTGACCTTCGACCTCATAGCTTAGTTCAAGTCAGTGTTCCCGTTATCCTATAGTTATGGTGTCTTCCTTTAGTCCTCTAGCAAGTTTGGGTGAAGGCCTCTGGTTCTGGGTCCATGGGGCGACAGTTCCAAGTCAACTTTATCTCATGTTAGTTTCAGGTTCTCTGCTGAGGCTGCTGTGGCTTTTATGTAGATCTCTATTTGGTTGGCTTGGAGATCTCTGACCTCAAAGGATGTGCACTGCACTTTCTGCTGCTTTTTTCTCACTGGTATCGAAATTCCTAAATATCTGTTGTTGGATCCACTCAATTTAAACTTAGTGGAATGGCAAGACTAGCCAAACCCCTTGTGGATAGACTAGCACAACTTATTTGCATAATGCTCTCCAACCATGTGGCAAAGTCGATGTCTAGGAAAGCTGTTTTCAACAATAAAGCCTTGATATTTCAAAGGAAAAAAGCACCTACTACCTGCAAGATTTTGGCATTTTCTGCATTAGATCAACTAGCTGTGATCATCGTGACCCAGTTGGGAAGATCATGGAGATTCTGTCAACACAATGAGGAGTGTTTATTTCAGGTCCCTCACCAGGTAGAGATCATGATATCCTCTTCCCCAACTGGCTGACTTACAGCTGATATTATCCACCTCTCATTTTGACAACCACATTTGTGTTTGTTGTTGTTATGAGCTATCAAGTTGGGTATGACCCATAGAGCCTTTATGAGTAACAGTTCGGAGCCCTATCCAGTCCTGTGCCATCCACATCATATTGGACATAACTGAGTCCATTGTTACAGTCACTGTGTCAATCCATTTTGTTGAGGGCATTCCCCTCTTTTGATGACCCTCCACCTTTCCAGGAATGATGTCCCTTTCCAAGAAATAGTAACTCCTTACAACATGCCCAAAGCATATGAGACAAAGCTCCACCATCCTTACATCTAAGGAATGCTCTGGCTTCATCTTTTCCTAGACCAAAAAGGTCTGTCTTGGAGAGGCTGAAACCTTGGAGGCAAGGATTTTTGAAGCTCCATCTGATGTGCTTTGGGCACGTGGCCAGGAAGGACCAGTCCTTTGAGAAGGACATCATGCTTGGAAGGGTGGAGGAACAGTGCAGGAGAGGAAGACCCTACATGAGATGGAGGGATACACTAACTGAGGCAATGGGTGTAGGTGTGTCAGAGTTAGTGAGACTGACTCAAGATAGGGTAGGGTTCAGAGCTGTTATTTATAGGGTTGCTATGAGCCATGGGTAACTTGACGGCACATAATAACAACATTCTTTTGGTAGTCTGCAGAATATTCAGTACATGTCTCCAGAACCATAACTCAAAGTCATTGATCCTTCTCCTAACATTCTTATTAACTGTCCAGCTCTCAGATACATAGCAGATGATTGAAAAGACCATGGCTTATATCAACTGCACCTTAAAATTGGCATCATTATTCCTTCATACTTTGGAGAGTTCTTTTACAGCAGACTTTGCCAATACAATATATATTTTGATTTCTGGACTATTTTTTGTAAGGGTATTGATTGTGGATCCAAGTAAGATGAAATAGTTGACAATTTCAGATTTTCTCCATCTATACTGATGCTGCCTATCAGCCTGGTGATGAGGATTTTTGTCTTCTTGATATTGAGATGTAATCCATATTAAAAACTGTTGTTGTTAGGTGCCAACGAGTTGAGTATGACTCATAGCAACACTATGAACAACAGATCTGAACCGTATTCTATCCTGTGCCATCCCCACACACTCTGCCAGAGGTGCTTGACTCTAGCTCTATGATTTGGCAAACGTGACTCCCTGACAATTGCCTAAAGCCACTCAGCCATCAAGCAGCTGGTTTTCTCAGCCAGTCGGCTAGAATCCCACAGTCCTGTCTCCTGGTTTCCCCCATCCCTGCCGTCACCATCTTGTCTCATGCTGCCTTATCATTTTTCCTTGTACGATAACTATGGTATTCAAGGTCCCTATCTCTGCTTCATGCAGGGATCTTGGGTCCAAAAAATGTGCTGGGACTCTTCAACAGTAAGGATTTGAGTTGTCAGCCCAAAGGTACAGTTCAAGTTCATCATCACTCCATAGGAGAAAGGTACTCCTCCTGTGTAATTCACTGTTTCTGAAAGCCCACTGTTGTTGTCGTCGTCGTCGTTGTTGTTAAGTGTCACTGAGTCACTTGTGACTCATAGCAACCCTATGTACATCAGCTCTGAAACTTCCTCTATCTTGAGCCAGCCTCATCATCTCTGACACACCTACCCTCAATACCCTAGTCACCAAGTAAATCCATCTTATCCACGGTCATCTTCTCTTGCGCTGTACCTCTGTCCTCTCAAGCATGATACCCCTTTCCAAAGAGCTGTTCCTCCTTGCAACATGCCCAAAGTGTGTTAGACGGAGCTTCAGAATCCTTGGCTCCAAGGAGCAGTCTGGTTTAACCTTCTCTAGGATGAACCTATTTGTTTTCCTAGCAGTCCATGTTATATTCAATATGCTTCTCCAGCACCACAGCTTAAAGGTATCAATTGTCCTTCTATCATCCCTAGATATTGTCCAGCTTTCTGATACGTAACAAGTAATTGCAAAGACCATTAAGTAGATCAGGTGAAACTTAGTCCTGACAGCAGATATTCCCAGTGCAATTTACCTTTTGATTTCCTGGCTTCTAGTACCAAGAGTGTTGATTGTAGAGCCAACAAACTAATGCTATTAACAATCTCAATCTCTTCACCATCTATCACAATGCTACCAAAAACCTCAGTGGTGATAATCTCTGTTTTCTTGATGTTGAGCTTCAATCCATATTGAAAGCTGCAGTCCTTGATATTACACAGCAAGAGCTTCAGGTCCTCCTCAATTTCAGCAAGCAAAGTTGTGTCATCTGCATAACGCAGGTTGTTGATGAGTCTTCCTCCACTCCTGATGCCACACTCCTCCTCATAGAGCCCAACCTCCTGGATGATCTGTTTCACATATAGATTGAAAAGTTATGGAGATAGGACATATCCCTGGTGTACACCCTTTCTGATTTTAAACCATGCAATGTTTCCTTTACTGTTCTAATGACTGTCTCCTGGTCGAAGTATAGTTTTCACACAAGCACAATCAAGTATTCTTGGATTCCCATTTCTTTCAGAGCCTCAGTTTGTTGTGATCCACACAGTTAAATGGCTTTGCATAGTCAGTCCACAGATAGACATTCCTCTGGTACTCTCTGCTTTCAACCAAGATCCATCTAACGTTAGCTATAATATCCCTAGTACCATGACCTCTTCTAAATCCAGCCTGCACATCTGGCAGCTCTCTGTTAATGTACTGTTCCAGTCATTTTTTGATAATTTTCAGCAGAATCTTGCTTGCATGTGATACTAATGATATTGTTTGATAATTTTCACACGCTGTTGGGTCACCTTTCTTTGGAATTGGAACAATTATAGATCTCTTCCAATCAGTTGGCCAGGTGGTTGTGCTTCAGATTTCTTGACACAACTTGGTGAGCATATCCAGGGCAGTATCTGTTTGTTGAACTATGCCAGTTGGTACTCTGTCAATTCCTGGGGACTTGTTTTTTGCCAATTCCTTCAGAGCAGCTTGAACTTATTCCTTCATCAACATAGGCTCTTGTTCATATGTTGTTTCATTAAAGTCTTCTGTGTCAGTTAATTCTTTTTGGTACGGTGACTATGTATATTCCTTCCATCTTATTTTAATACTTCCTGTATCATTTAATATACTGCACAAAGCATCCTTAACTATTACAACTCAGGGATTGAATTTGTTCTTCAGTTCCTTCAGCTCAATAAATGCTGAGAGAGTTCAGTCTTTTTGGGTTTTTTTTTACTCCAGCTCTTTGTACATTTCATTATAACACTTTTCTTTGTCTTCCTGAGCTGCCCTTTGAAATCTTGTGTTCAGCTCCTTAATTTATTGATTTCTTCCCTTTGCTTTGGGTTCTTAGTGCTCTACAGTAATATATTAAGAATCTCATCTGACATCCACCTTCCTTCTTTCCTTCCTTCTCTGTGTTTGTAATGACTTTTTGCATTCTTCATGG